ACTTCACAACAAGTCAATGGTGGCTGTTGCAGCACGTATGATTATCGTGATAGGAATTGCTTGATCAGTACAAAAGTAGCCTTGTCTAGCCCTGAAAAGATGTGTATAGCTGTGTATGGCCTTGTATAGCTGTGTATAGCCCTACATAGCTGTGTTTAGCAGTGTATAGCTGGGTATAGTCCTGTATAGCTCTGTATAGCTGTATTTAGCCCTTTATAACTGTGTATTGCCCTGAAAAGGTTTGCATAGCTCTGTCCAGCTGTGTATAGCCCTGTAGTACTGTGTATAGCTTTATTTAACCTTGTTTAGCCCTGTATGTGTTTAGGATATCATAGGTAAAGTATTGAGGACATAATAACTCCCTAAACATAACCTACCTACCAAAGTTTACGGGAATCCGAGGAAGGATCGTACCTGTATTTTCCTTACCGGATATTATTAAAGTTTAAAAATTCAGAGATTCACCTGTGAACAGCCAACCTCTCCCTTCCCTCCCCTCTCCTTCCTGTAACTAGAGTAACACTACTTTCAAATCATAAGAAGGCAGCATGGTCGAGTGGTCAGCGTGTCGGACTTGCAATCCGCCGCTCCCGGGTTCAGGTCCCTCCCTGGCCACTACCTGGATTTGTTTTACAGTAGCCCCGAGTTTCAAATCCTCGGCCATGCTTGTAATATAGCCAACTGGTTTGCCTTCAGCCAGTTGGGATTCTTAATAATTCAGTTTGAATTATTTGTTTCAGTTGTTTGGTGGAAAACCTGTAAACTAGCTTCTAGCTAAGTGTTTCTCCACATTGAACTGTTTATTATTATTCTTATTAAACAACAACATCATGGAGCACTCTTCACAACATGCAACTACATAAGTCAAAGCCCAAAGGCGCTTAAGGTGTGGGTAGATATTTGCATACAATGTACAATTGCACCAAACCTGAAATACAGGAAGAGAGTTATCTTACAAATGATGAACGAGGAATTAATCATTCACTTCTTTAAATGTTGCAAGTAGATCAACTGATATTTACAAATTGGATACATGACAACAATTTAACCCAATCAAATTCTAAGGCCACAGATTTTTTTTTCTTCTGATTTTTTAATTTAAATATTACATAAAATGAACACCATATATAAAAAACACAACTTGCCTTCTGTGAAGACTGTCTAAACTGATCGAGTGTCTTGTTACACTTATGTAGGTGAAACAAGGAGATCTTTCAACAATCCCAGTATTTATGTATGATGCACGATCCTCGCAGTAGATAGCACTATTTAAGCAATAGCGAAAATCAGACCTGAAAAAATCAGGTCTGTTACTAATCCCAGTATTGCAGCTAGATGTATGTTGTTTTCCCCCATAGCTTTTAATCACATGGGATTGCCAAGACCCTCAGTCCATGACTACATAGTACTGAATAATCAGGACACTATTAACTTCAATATTAACAATTTTACAGTATGTTGTTGATTTACTCACAGGTAAAGAGCCTCCAATAGATGCTCCCATTTTCTTCACTGTTCAGGACCAGTTCATAAATATCACCATCAGCTTGGACGAAAATCATCCATGTTTCTTAAGCCATGTATTGCTTTAGAAATGCTACAATCAAATTTTACTTCAAAAGCTAAAATTCAATTTCTTAAGGCCAGCTAACAAGTGTCAAAGCAAGTATTTACATTTATTATCAAGATTAACGACATGCAGATGTAAGTGCCATTTCTTAAAACATTGAACAGTATTCTAAATCAGTAATGATACAACAACACTTTTGTGTATTAACTCATTAAACGTTTTCAGGCTTATCTTTTCTCTGCATTAGTTTCCTAAAATAGGAAAAACAAAACATATTAATAACAATATTCTGGTAAATTTTTCTTGTTCTTGCCTGATCACTACATAGTTCTGGTGCAATTCCTTAAAAAAGATTATTTAAGCAACATTCAAGTAATAAATCAGATTCTTTTCTGCAGTGCTTTCTTGTTTCAACTGTCTCATACTACATTTTGAATTTCTGGTCAAAATGCACTGAAAGAAGTGTTTAGCTAGAGAACTATAATGACATCAAAACCTTACAATCATAATTCTCTTATGAATATATCCTGCTAGAAGAGTTGACATTGCACAATTTGTAAAGATGTTCCTGGTAAAAAAAACGATTTTCTCAATGAATTAGTTATTAATAATGTTGGGACCGTCTATATATGAGCTTACAACAGAGCACTTCACAACAACAAGTTGTTTAATACATTCTGAAAATATCCTAACACATTCGCATGTGCAAAGGTCCCATATTTATAGCATGGTAAACAATGTCATGTAAGAAAGACAAGATGTACTATCATGGTAACATATTCGTGTTAGTGACACAGGATATGACAAATAATGAATTAATTAAAAATACTTCATACACACCTCCAAAGGTAAATGTTTGATACAATTGAAATCATAAGTATTACTGACATTAATGCCAGTACGATAATAAAAACGTTTGAAGAAGTGCCTGTGAAAAAGATCAAAATCAATGCACTAAATATATAGTCCAACCACTTCACAAGAAAGTGTAAACCAAAAGAGAGTTAACTA